CCTTCCAACATTATCTAGCTCTTCTGTCTTATGAACATCCTGCTTCTCGATTGCTGGCTTGAACAGCTTGGCTGTTGAAGCCTGGGTTTTGAGGGACAGAGGCCTACCAGACTGTCATCTTTATACTTTTGAAGGCCCGGAAATTTTGCTTCTGGGAAAGACTATTATAACGCTTTGAAAGCCTGCTTCTCCATGTGCAAATCCAGGGACTTGTATCCCAGGAGCATTCTCTGTGATACTAATTCTGTACTTCCTAGGGATGCACCGATACTGGTTTTTCGGTATTGAGTACGAGTACCTAATATTTATCTTTCGCTACTCGCCGGTACCGATAACGGTACTTCCACTAGCATGGAGCCGGCGTCCCGGGCCAATCAGGAAGGCAGGCCGTTACCCACCGCCTGGCTCAATGCTGTTCAGCTGGGTCGATGCTGTTCAGCTGGCTCGATGCCGACTGGCTGGGAAGCTGTCTGCTTGTAGATCAAAATAAGTTCACGCTGCAGTGTCACACTCAGCAGGTCTCCTCCCCTTTTGGGTTTTTTAACCTCTTCAACTACTCTAAACCAATGTTGTGAGCTTCTTTGATCAGCCTTCCATAATGATGTGTTACAGGTGAGAAGAAGTCTGTGCTGACATCGCTACAGTTTTTGCTAAAGCTTTTTCTAGTTTCCTGTGAGGTCTGGCCAACATAATCTAAACCCTATGGGCATTTGAGAAGATAAATGACATTTAGTAGTGGGGTGGCTGTTAAAGGAGGGTGAAGGGAATTTTCTTCCTGTACAGAGATGTATGAAATATAGTTCTTTTATTACACAATTGCATTGCAAATGGTGTCCACAGGGATTGATGACCTGGAGCAACTGCTGTATGCCTCAGCAAAATCTGCATGGATCAGTATGTCCTGAAATGTGCACAAACGTCTATGTGCAAAGATAGCTGGGTCTCCCGTGCAGTCTTTCAGAGAGTCGACTTCCCGGCCAAACAGCATGGAGTCGGCTTCCCGTCCAATCAGGAAGCCGGGCTGTGAGCCGGTGCCTGGCTTCCTGATTGGCCTGGAAGTTGGCTTCATGTTCCCTCACGGCACTGCCGGTCAGAGGAAATCTCCTTCTGACCGAAAGTTCCAGTATCGGGGGTAAGTATCGGTATCTGTGCATCCCTAGTTCTTCCTACAATCTGGCCTTGAGTACCCTCAATGTTTCGGTTTAGGCCTTTTAGCCATTCTTTTTCGAAGGCTGCTTGCCTTAAACTCTTTGAGTGCATTCACCCTGCTCACATCACTCCCCTGTGCGTTATTCAGTGGCTCCCTGGGATCTCAACTTTGTGTAATTTTTACAAAGCATCCTCTAAACCTAATCAGGGATATACTCCTTGTTTTCCTTCACTCATAAGGTTGCCTTTCTCGTTGCCATCATTGGCAAACGTATCCTTTGTGTTTAAACAGAGATGAGGTTTTTTTTTGAGACCTCTTTATCTTGCCTCTGAACAGCCTATGGAATTCTCTCTCCACTGTCTCGACTTGGTTCACTTCTTCTTTTATACAGTAAAATTCACTCTGTCATTCCTGAAGTTCTCCGCAGTGTAAAATGCCTGTAAAATGCTTCTTTTTTTTTTTTGGGAGTATATTTACACACAAAATATGTCCTTCAGTTTTTGTGTCTAATGTCCATATCTACGGTAGGTGGTAATATAAGTCATATTTAACATTTGCTGTCAATGAACTCCAAGAAAAGGATTTTACGGTAAGTACAAAAGTCCCTATTATTTTTTATTTTTTCCCCTCTTCAGGTGTCCTTGATGAAGATGGTTCTGATGTCTTAGTTAATGTGAATATGATAGACCGAGAGAAAGCAAATAAGAATGTTGAGCTGAAGAAAAAAAGACCGGATTACAAACCTTATGAAGAGGAAGAGAGCGTGGATGACATGGTCATGGTGAGTCTGTAGTTCATTTTAATGGTAATTGTTTTATGCATTGCATTTAATAAAGGATTCCTAAATAATAATTATTATTATTTTTTTATCCACAGTTGCGTCACAAATCTGTCCTTTCCAAATACGATGAAGAGATAGAGGGAGAAAAGAAGAAATCCTTCCAACTGGAATCGGGGGGAGCAGTGGATGGTTCATGGGAAAAGGAATTGCAGTTAATTCGTGAAACTTTACACAATCAAGCACAGTCCCTAGATCTGCCAGGGTTAAAGATTGCATCTGAGTATTATACACCAGAGGAGATGGTAAGATTGTAGAATTAAAGCCTAGGGTTTTCTTGATGTGAATTTTTTAAGAAACAAAATGGTTGTAATATAATTTCCTATACTGTACTCCAAAAGGTCTCCTTCAAGAAAACTAAGCGACGAGTGAAAAAGATTCGCAAGAAGGAGAAGTCTGGTCGAACTGAAGATCTCTTACTCATGAAAACTGATACTAGAGAGACTGACTTTGGTTCTAGGTAAACACAAGGAAATCTGACATTTACTCTTAATTCTTGCTAACAAAAGAATTGTTATGTTGTAACGTTTTTGGACTTTTTTCTTTTCTTTCTAATTTTTAATGTTTGCAACATTAACAACATGGTCCCATGCTCTAATACTAAAGGGAATTTGTTAGGGATGCACCTATATAACGGTCACGGAAACATATTTTTGGCCCGAAATAGCAGTACATCTCTGCTTTCTCTACTCCCTGCTGGGTGCTGCTCTGTGTCCCATCGGGGAGGAGAGAAACTGTCACAGGCGGCCGAGCGCTGCGGGAGGAAAGCGCTGTGAGCAGTCGGCGTCTCTCCTCCCTGCACCGCGGGGGAGGAGTCAGCCTTCAGATCGAGCTCTCCTTCCCGCACCTCTTGACAGTCAGGAAGGAGAGCGGGTACAAGCACTCGGCAATCAGTGATCGCTGAGTGTTAGTAAACATACTATGTCATCAATTATTTACAGTGTCCCCAATTTATGAATGAGTGGAAAGTGATCTACATCACCTTCTGTTCATTCATGATTGTGGTTATTGTAAACACAATATCTCCACAAGTTATAAATAAACAGGAGCACTCCGTATAGAGGATTCCTATAGAGGTTCATTTATAACGGGGGCTGCAGAAAAAGATTAAGGACTCTTGTTTTCTCAATCTCTTTTTCTATTTTAAAAGGAAAATATCAGAGGTCTGTTTTAGACCCCCAATATTTTCCCCAAAACCCCTAAAAGTAAAAAAGAAAAATATTTAAAACATTTTTTATATTTTTTTTTTTTTTTTTAAT